TGGCAGAGGTGTTAGAATCAGAATACTGGCTGAACATATGACTTTCAACTGTTTATTTTTAAGTAACACTAAACAATATCCTTAATCTCCAAAAATAATCCATACACGCCCACTACTTAATGGCCTTGTAATCTACACTGTGGTTATTTGCCTCTTGTAACATCCTCAGTTAACTCCTGTACTTCTCCTTATTCCCCATAATTTTCCAAGACATCCTCCAGGACAGCATCCCCAGTTTATTTTTATTTTTTTCTTGTTCTTGGGGAAGGTGTCCTTAAGTACCCCTCGTCCCCTTTCCTGAATATGGCAGGCAAGGCAGTCCTGTTTCAGACTGGGGAGGGGGAGGAGGTAATGAGGGAGGGAGCTCTGTATTCAGAAACGTACCTTTCTGTTCCCACACTTTTTCCTTTTTATTCTCAGAGCAATTTTTTGTTTGCCCCTCTAGCAGCCTAAGTGGTGTGCAAGGAGGGTGCAAAGGCCAGGCTTAGTTGAGGTATGCTGGGAGGCCCCGGTAGTTCCACATTCTCAAGGGGTCGTCTTGCTGTATTGGCCTCATGCATGGGATGCTTGTCTCTCTGGCGCTCTGGTTCTCTCCAGCATGTGGGTAAGCTTCCACGACCCGGGAGTGGCATTTTTCATGATGGCCACTGAGCCAGAGTTGGGATTTTTGGTGTCGGGTGTTGGCTATGGCAAGATACCTATCCGGTCTCCATCTGCGGGAGGACTGCCCAGGTGCCATTTTTTTCTTCTCAGATATAAACTGCTCCACATGGAGAGATCAGTTCCTAAGGTGACAGCGCTCTCCAGGATGGTCCATTAGTGAGGGTTCAAGCAACCCAACCAGGCATTGCGGAGCCCGTTCCATGTGCTATGTACTGTGACAGACAGGATATAGTGAATGCAGGGTCCTAGGTTTAGTATCACTTTAACAGCGTACTGTGTTGTGATTACTGTGAGCTGTTTTACTAGGGGACATGCTCTGCTTTGCAGATAGATAGAAAGCAGCACGTGCCTGCTGACAGGGGAGAGATCCGTGTGTAAACAACACAGATCTTTCTCCTGTCAGTTGATTTGTTGATCGAGTCCCAGCCATGAATCGCTGGCCAAAACTCAGTAATTGACATATTTTGGAGCCAATGGCAAACAAGTGTTCTTTTTCCCAATGCAGCCACTCCCAACAAATCTCAATGACACCAGACTCAGTGTGGGGGGAAGGTTGTTTTTTCTCCCACAATGGAAAGCTTTTTGTCAAAATCAGTTCATTTTGCCAATTATAGAAGAAGGGTAGCGGATAGTTTTTTTGGTCAATACCCCCGGATAATTTTTTGGTGACAACACTGCAGAGCTGTTAAACAAGGCAGTTAAATACAGGAAAGTATTTTCTCCATAAGAGGATTGCTTCCACAATCAGCTTATCTTGTGACTTTAGACATAAGAGATGTGTATCTTCACGTACCCATTCATCCCATTGCACTAAGTGATGGGGAATAAATTTGGAATTTTCATTATCAGGCACTCCACTTTGGGCTGGCCTCTGCTTCGTGCATTTTTACAAAGATTATGGTGAAGGCGATGCAGAAGCTGAGGCTAAAGGGGGTGTAAATCGTTCCATACCGCAACAATTGTCTGTTTTTTAGCAGGACATAAACAAAAGTCCTATCTAATCTACAGAACACCAGAAAAATCCTGGCGTTCCTAGGGTGGAAGCTAAATCTGGAGAAATCAAATCTCTCTCCAGCACAGAGTGTATTTCCGGGATACATAATCAGCACTCAACTTCAGAACATTGTACTACCCAAAGAGAAGTCCGGAAAGCTTCCGGGGGCCATAGGCCAGGTCCTGGTGGCAGTGTGGGCATCAAGGCCCTTCTGGGCCATCCTGTTGATGCAGTGGGCACAACTGTGCACAAGGCTACTCCAGTCCCATCTGGTAGACAATTGGGACGGACAAGCGCAGTCATTGGATGGGTGGATTCAAATCGAGAAATCATTGATGTGGTGGAGGTCGGCAAGGAGAAGAGAAGGAAGAATTTGGGTCCTACCTATCCAAATATGCATAACAATGGATGAGAGCACGTTCAGATGGGGTCCACGCACAAGGTAGTTCGCCAGGGCATCTGGGTGGCAGACTTGGCATCAGCATCCTCCAATTTGAGAGAACTGACCGCATTCCAGAGAGGTTTACTGGGATTCAGGAAAGAAGTCATGGGGCACCATGTGCTTATTCCCTCAGATAATTCAACCATACTGGTATACATCCACCAAGGGGGCACCAGATCAAAAATTCTGATGAGAGCAGCTTACCTTTTGCTAATCGTGGCAGAAGCCAATTTGGCATCAATCTCCGTAGTACACAAAGGGATAATACAATACCTTGGCGGACTTCCTGATCCGGACACAGCTGGACTCGAAGAAGTGGAAACTGATCCACAACTGGACTCTGGTGGTGGATTTGTTCGCCACGGAAAAAACAGAAAAGTGAACACGTTTTGTTTTTTTTTTTTTCTGAGGAAGAAAAAGGAAGCTTTGGGAGTGGATTATTTAGGATTCCAGTAGGAATTGTTTATGGTGCTGGACCAATTACAAGAAGGCCTAGATCTGGGACTTTCCACAAGTACTCTCAAAGTTCAGTCTGCAGCATTTAGTTGAACATGGCGTTGGGGAGAACGCTATTGTAAGGAGATTTTTTAAGGCTATTGCTAGAAGTCTGCCTTGCAGGTCAGTCAGCATATCTCCATGGCACCATTCAGTAGTTCTGGAAGCATTAACCAAAACCCCTTTTGAACCTCTGGAAAAGATTTCTGTGAAGTTTCTGACTCTCAAAGTAACTTTTTTTTTTAGGAGCCATCACTTCGGCTAGGAGGATTAGGGAGCTGCAAGCCTTATCCATTAAACTGTTTCTTATGTTATTTCCAGACAAGTTGATCCTGAAAACGGATTGGACTCACTGTTTCTACCTAAAGTTACATCTACTTTTCACAGAACCCAGGAAATTGTATTGCCACCTTTCTGCCGGAATCACCAGTAAGCAGAAGAGGAAAGAATTTGCTTCGCTGGACGTTTGAAGATGCGTCCTTCAATACTCAGAAGTCACTAAGTCATTCAGAAAGTCGTCAGCCCTTTTTGTACTATTTGGAGGAGCAGGCAGAGGGAACCCTGCATCAAAAAAAACTCAAACCCTGCATCAAAAAAATGGATTAAAATGACTATTAGTAGAACTTATCCTTCAAAAACAAAGTCAGTCTACCAAGTTTGAAGGCTTCTACTCAGTTTGTGGCTACCGCCTGGGCTGAGAGAGCTGGGGCTTCCATTGAGCAAATTTGCAAAGTGACCACCTAGTCCAGCGATTATACAGTCACTAAACACTACAGAATCGATCTGGACTCTGCCCAAGATCTGACCTTTGCTCGCAAGGTCCTGCAAGTGGTAGTCCCATCCTATTTATTCATCCTTGGTATCTCATGTGACCGTCCTGGAGGATGACTTGGGAAAAGTCCAAGTTATTACCTGATAACTACTTTTCTAGGAATCTTCCAGGATTACCTCTCATGTGACAATCCTGGAGGATTCCTAGAAAAGGAGTTATTCGATAATATCTTGGACTTTCCTTTTGTTTAAAATGAGCAGTGTATGTTAGTTGTTGTTGTCATGTGCATTGCTGTATGCACACTACAAGTCCCATAGTCCATTTCAGGAGCAAGCATGTAAGGGTGGCTAGACTCCTACATAAAGTGGAACAGTAGAGAACAAACAGTCACCCTCTAATAGGAAGTCAGATCAGAGTTTAGTGTCACTTGAAATGCCATGACACAAGCGAGTGACCTTATTTTCCTTTCTGTTGAAGGCAATATTTTTTGGTGGCATTGAGACATCCTTGAGGGGGGAAGTGTGGCCTTTCCTTCTTGCATACTACAGCTGGGAATCCACTAGTGAGGAGCGTGAATCTCTTCGGGTTCAGAGAAGAGAGGAATATGCCCAGATCCAGAATAAAAGGTAAACCATTCCAGTATTTTGAGAACATCAGTCAAGTGGAACTTCACTGTCTGTCAATATTGATTATTTGTAACCCTAATGCTGCTAGCATTAGTAAATAGATAAGAAGGTACATTGTATTTGTTTTAAACTTTTTTATTAACATTTCTTCAGTTACATCCTGGTTTCTGCCAAATGATTTCATACATCCCATGAGTCTTCAGGAGGGAACGAGTTGTTTTCTCAGCTAACCACACCCTCCTTCCTGCTTGCATGAGCTAAGGGCAGATGGATTACGGAAGTAAATGCTGCATGATTCATCTGCCCTTACTCAAGATGGCCACAGCCAGAAATACTAGGGGGTGTTTTTCAAAGTGATTTCTCAGAGATATAAAGCATGGAGACATGGGTGGATTTGGGAGCTTGTTTTACATATTAAAAGTTAATTTAATTGAGTTTTTGGTTTGTGGTGCTCAGATGCAGTGCAGTTCCACTTTAAGTATGGATTACTCAGTTATGAATTAAGTACAGTTTAGGTAAAATATTCAATAAATCATGGTCAGTGTTTTACTATTTGCATGGTAAAAACACCTCTTGTCTTTTTTCATTAATATACAGAGTCTCCATGAGCCCTGATGCTCAGAAAGATTTCTGGAGAAATGTTCAGTTTACAGTGGATAAAGATGTTGTGAGGACAGACCGAAGTAACCAGTTCTTCAGAGGAGAGGACAATCCGAATGTAGAGGCTATGAGGTTGGAATTCTTGTTCTCAGATAATATGTCACATTAAAGTGTATCTAAAGATATTACAAAAGGTAATCTATTGCAGCTTATCAGTGTTTTGACGTGATGGCTTCAATAGTTTTCTTTCTTCGGGCTTCTTTTTTTCCACCTGGTGATTCCCCCAGTATTATACTCCTGTCCTAGAATGGACAACAGGAACATGATAGGGCTACAGAACCCTGTCCCTCTTCTATTTTCTATAGCAGGGGCCTCCAAATTTTCAAAACAAAGAACCAGTTTACTGCCCTTCAAGCTTTAGTGGTGCCAAACTGTGGACATTGGTGGGAGTAAACAATACCATAGGCTTGGTGGTCAGTCATAGTAAAAAAATTACATCATTGATGTCAGTGGGAGGAATAGTGCCCCATCATTGTACCAGTGTACCCCAAGGTACAGTGTTGGGACCCTTACTTCTTAATATATTTATAAACGATATAGGATCTGGGATTAAAAATACTGTTTCAGTCTTTGCAGATGGCACCAAGCTTTGTAGTGGAATAACGTCCTTACAGTATGTCTCCAACTTACAAGCCGACCTCAATGCACTGTTTAATTGGGCAACTATGTGGCAAATGAGGTTTAATGTTGATAAATTTATCAACACGCATCATACATACTAGGGGCAGTTCAACTGGGGGGATCAATGTGGGAGAAGGATCGGGGGTTCTGGTAGATCATTAACTTAATAATGGTTTGCAATGCCAAGCTGTGGTTTCTAAACCGAGCAAAATCCTCTCTTGTAATAAAAGAGGTGTAGACTCCAGAGAGAGAAACATAATTTTACCCCTGTACAATCATTTGTAAGACCTCATCTGTTATATGCAGTTCAGTTTTGGGCACCAATTCACAAAAAGAGCATTGGGGAACTGAAGAGACTTCAGAGAAGGGCAACCAAACTGATAAGAGGCATGGATGAGCTCTGCTATAAGGAAAGATTAAAGGAATTTAATTTATTCTCTCTTGAGAAGAGGAGATTAAGGGGGGATATGATCAACATGTATAAATACATCAGTGGTTCATATTGTGAACTTGGTGTAGAGTTATTCGCCCTTAGGTCATCACAGAGGACAAGGGGCACTCTTTACATGTGGAGGAAAAGAGATTTAATCTCCAAATGTGGAATGGTTTCTTCACAGTAAGAGCTGTGAAAATGTGGAATAGACTCCCTCAAAAGTTGGTTCTGGCCATCTCAGTGAATGCTTTAAAAAAGGCCTGGATTCTTTCCTAGAAACACATACCGTATTTTTCCGGCGTATAAGACGACCCCCTACTTTTCCTGTTTAAAATGTAGTGTTTGGGCTATACTCGCCGTATAAGACTACCCCTCTTCCAGTGCACACCAGTGGGAAGAATCGTGCCCCATCATTGGTGTCAGTGGGAGGAATAGTGCCCCATCATTGGTATTAGTGGGAGGAATAGTGCCCCATCATTGGTATCAGTGGGAGGAATAGTGCCCCATCATTGGTATTAGTGGGAGGAATAGTGCCCCATCATTGGTATCAGTGGGAGGAATAGTGCCCCATCATTGGTGTCAGTGGGAGGAATAGTGCCCCATCATTGGTGTCAGTGGGAGGAATAGTGCCCCATCATTGGTATCAGTGGCAGGAATAGCACCCCATCATTGGTGTCAGTGGGAGGAATAGCACCACATCCTTAGTATCAGTGGCAGGAATAGTGCCCCATCATTGGTGTCGGTGGAAGGAATAGTGTCCCATCATTGGTGTCAGTGGGAGGAATAGTGCCCCATCATTGGTATCAGTGGGAGGAATAGTGTCCCATCATTGGTGTCAGTGGGAGGAATAGTGCCCCATCATTGGTATCAGTGGCAGGAATAGTGCCCCATCATTGGTGTCAGTGGGAGGAATAGTGCCCCATCATTAATATGATTGGGGGGAATAGCACCCCATCATTGGTGTCAGTGGAATAGTGCTCCATCTTTGGTGTCAGTGGGAGGAATAGCATCCCATCATTGGTGTCAGTGGGGGGGGGGGATAGTGCCCCATTGTTGGTGTCAGTGGGGGGGGAGGAATAGTGTCCCATCATTGTGTCAGTGGGGGGTGGAATAGTGCCCCATCATTGGTGTCAGTGGGGGGGAGGAATAGTGCCCAATCGTTGGTGTCAGTGGGGGGGGAAGGAATAGTTCCCCATCGTTGGTGTCAGTGGGGGGGGGGGAAAGTGCTCCATCGTTGGTGTCAGTGGGAGGAATAATGCCCCATCATTGGTATCAGTGACACCAACGATGGGGCACTATTCCTCCCACTGACACTTGCTGACCCCTGTTCCAGTACGGTGCATCTGCACTCGATTTTCGCGGGGCCGCTCAGCTCCGCCTCCTCGCCGGTGATTGGACGCCTGTGTGCCTTTCCTGAGCTACAGTTCTGGCGGCCAATCACCGGTGAGGAGGCGGAGCCGAGCAGCCGCACGAACATCCAGTGGACGAACCGAAGGAAGGAGCAGCCGTGCCTCCTGGACCGGATCGTCATGGGATCGGAGCCAGGTAAGAGACAGCAGCCCCTGCCCACCCCTGTACTGGGAGTGTCAGCATGCCGTTACCGGCGTATAAGACGACCCCCGACTTTTGGGAAGATTTTCAAGGGGTAAAAAGTCGTCTTATACGCCGGAAAATACGGTAATATAACTGGGTAATAACATTTATAGGTAAAGTTGATCCAGGGAATATCTGAATGCCTCTCGGGGGGTCAGGAAGGAATTTTTTCCCCTGCAGGAGCAAATTGGATCATGCTTTGCTGGGTTTTTTTTTGCCTTCCTCTGGATCAACTGCGGCTATAGGACAACTTGTTTTTTGTTTTTTTATGGTTGAAATGGATGGACTTTTGTCTTTTTTCAGCCAGACTAACTATGTAATCATTGGTGTCAGTGGAAGAATTAGTTCCCTATTTCTGGTATTAGTGGGAGGAATAGTACCCCTTTGTTAGTGTCAGTGGGAGCATACATGCCCCATCTTTGGTGTCAATGGAAGGAATAGTGCCTCATATCAGTAGAAGGAAAAGTGCTTCGAGGGTCAGATAAAGGCATTCAAAGGGCCACATCTAGTGAGTGCTCTATAGCATAGAGGGTGTGGTTCTCTAGTCCTCAGAGGTAGCGAAGAAAAGCCAGAGGAGAGTAGAGGTATTTTTTTGAACAGATAGTCAAGGCCAAAATTATTGGCACCCCTACATTTCTGTCAGATGTTGCACTATTTTGCCCAGAAAATTGTTGTAATTACATATGTTTAGGCATTCTCATGTTTATTTCTTTGGTTTGTATTGGTATGACCCAAATAAGCGAAGAAACAAAAGGCCAAATCTGACACATTCAACACAAAACCCCCAAAATGGACTTGTCAAAATTATTGGCACTTTCTCAAAATTGTAAGAAATAATTGCATTCCAAGTTAGTGATTCTCCTGTAACTTGTAATTAAAGCGATTCTAAAGGTTCATGTTTTTTTTTTGTAAAATAACAAATATTTCTATACTTACCTGCTGTGTGCAGTGGTTTTGCACAGTGCAGCCTGGATCATCCTCTTCTCGAGTCCCCCGCAGGCTCTCCTGGCTCTTCCTGTCTGTTTGGTACCCCCCCACAGCAAGCAGCTTGCTATGGGGGCACTCGCTGCTCCGTGTGTCCATTTACACATGGAGCCACAGCTTGGCCCTGCCCCCTCTCTCTGCTCATTGGCTGACTGGCTGTGATGGACAGCAGCAGTAGCCAAATGGCAATGGCAATGCCAATTAGGAGGCAGAGACCCCTCACAGCGAGGCTGTCATTCACATCACTGGATCGCGATGAGGCTCAGGTAAGTATTGAGGGGGCTAGGGGAGCTACTGCACACATGGTTTTTTACCTTCATGAATAGAATGCATGAAGGGGAAAAACCTTCAGCCTTTACAACCACTTTAAACTCACCTGTATCACTTAACAGATCCTAATGTTCCTGTGTCCACTGTGTGGAAAGAGAAAAACTTGATCAAAGACTGCAATGAAGAATCGTTTGGTGGATAAACAACATCGATCAACTTCCAGACAAATTCAAGCTTCAGGCACAGGGTACAACTGTGACTCGCACTATACGTCACCATCTGCATGAAAACTAACGCTATGGTAGGAGGCCCAGGAGGACCCCACTGCTGACACAGAAACATAAAAAAGCCAGTTTGGAGTTTGCCAAAACTTACCTCAGGAAGCCAAAATCCTTTTAGGAGACTGTGCTGTGGACAGACGAAACAAAATTACAGCTTTTTGGTAAAGCCCATCATTCTACTGTTTTCAGAAAAAGCAATGAGGCCTTTAAAGAAAAGAATACAGTCCCTACGGTCAAACATGGTGGAGGTTCACTGATGTTTTGGGGTTGCTTTGCTGCTTCAGGCACTGGATGTCTTGACTGTGTGCATGGCATTAGGAAATCTGAACACTAGCAAAGAATTCAATGATCAAATATGGAGAAGGATCTGGGAGTTCTGGTTCACAGCTTATTAATGGCATGCAATGCCAAGCTGCTGTTTCTGAAGGGAGCAACATCCTCTTTTGTATTAAAAGAGGTATTGACTCAAGAGAGAGGGATATTATTTTACCCCTGTACAAATCAATAGTAAGAACTCATCTGGAATATGCAGTTCAGTTTTGTGCACCAATTCACAAAAAGAACATTGGAGAACTGGATAAAGTACCGAGAATGGCAACCAAACTGATAAGAGGTATGGAACTAAGCTATGATGAAAGATTAGAGGAAATTAATTCTCTCTTGAGAAGAGGAGATTAAGGGGGGATATGATCAACATGTATAAATACGGCAGTGGTTCCTATAGTGAATTCAGTGTAGAGTTATTCAAACTGAGGTAATCACAGAGGACAAGGGGGCACGCTTTACATCTGGAGGAAAATAAATTTAATCTCAAAATATGGAAAGGTTTCTTCACAGTAAGAGCTGTGAAAATGTGGACTAGACTCCCTCAAGAGTTGGTTCCTGCCAGCTCAGTGGATTGCTTTAAAAAAGGCTTAGATTTGTTCTTGGATGCACAGAATATAACTGGATACTAACATTTATCAGTGAAATTGATCCAGGGAATATCTGATTGCCTCTTGGGGGATCAGGAAGGAATTTTTTTTTCCCCTGCAGGAGCAATTTGGATCATGCTTTGCTGAGTTTTTTTTGCCTTCCTTTGGATCAACTGTGGGTGTAGAATTATATTTTTTTTAATGGTTGAAGTGAATAGACTTTTGTCTTTTTTCAGCCAGACTATGTAACTCCAGATCTCAGTCCCTTTGAGCACCTGTGGAGAGATCTCAAAAAAGCAGTTGGGAAGAGGAACCCTACCAATTTGAGACCTGGAGCAGTTGGCGAAAAAAGAGTGGTCCAAAATTCCAGCAGAGAGGTGTAAGGAACTCATTGATGGTTACAGAAAGCTATTAATTTCCGTTATTTTTTTCCAAGGGGTGTGTTACCAAATATTAAATTGAGGGTGCCAATAATTTTGTTCAGTCAATTATTGGGGTTTTGCATGGAATGTGTCCGATTTTGTCTTTTTGTTTCTCCACTTTGTTGTGTCAAATCTATACAAACAAAAGAAACAAACATGAGACTGCCTAAACGTTTGTAATTGCAACAATTTTCTGGCTGAAGTGGTGCAGACCATGACTGTATAACAAAATGCTTTCAAGATTTCAAAAAATATATATAATTGTTAGGGCTCATTTACACAAGCTTTTCCCTCTAAAGAGCATTCTGCAGTTGATTACTTTTCAGGAGGTATTTGTGTGGAGGTATTATGTCACTTTCTAACCATCTGTTTTAACCCCCAAAACCCCTGCACTGTGGCATTACTGTGTGCAATGGGTCATGTTCGGCACGTATTATTGCTCATCAAGTGTAATGAGGGGATAAAAAGACTGATACCGTAGCTATGGGCAGCATCTTTTTTTTTTTTTTATTCTATCGGTTTTATAAAAAAATGTATACAATAAAATCTTTGGGTTAAAGGTTCAAAATAGAAAGTCATCGTAAAAGGTGGAAAATTTCAACACATTTTTGACCACTTGCCCTCCAGAGGATTTACCCCCCTTAATGACCAGGCCTCTTGTTGCTACTCGCCGCTGGACTAATTCAACTGATAATTACACGGTCATGCAATGCTGTACCCAAACAAAATTTATGTCCTTTTTTCACACAAATAGAGCTTTCTTTCAGTGGTGTTTGATCACCTGTGCGCTTTTTTTATTTTTCGTGCTATAAATAAAAAAAGACCGAAAATTTTGAAGAAAAACAATATTTTTTACTTTCGGCTTTAAAAAATATATAGAAAACTCAAAGTTAGTTATACATTTAGGCTAAAATGTTTTCTGCTACATGTTTTTGGTTAAAATAATCCCAATAAGTGTATATTGATTGCTTTGTGTGAAAGTTATAGCGTCTAAAAACTATGGTATAGATACTGCAATTTACGCCATTTTTTTGCTATACAGTGCTGCACTAGTTTAACTGAGAACTGCGCAGTCATGCAATACGGTACATAGATGAAATTTATGTCCTTTTTTCACATAAATAGAGCTTTCTTTCTGTGGTATTTGATCACCTGTGCTCTTTTTATTTTTGGCTCTATAAACAAAGTTTTGAAAAAAAATTTTTTTCTAAAAATAAAACAATATTTTCTCATTTCTGTCATAAAAAATATTCAAAAAAACCCTCAAATGTTGTCATAAATTTAGGCCAAA